ACCATAACATTCATTTTGTAATCTCAAAAAGAACTGCATTCAACAGGAATACAATCAGCATGTGAAGATTCTGTGGAAAAAAAAAGACTAAATTCCATGAACTGAAAATTTGTTTCAATTGCCTTGCTTCTGTTTATTATCTACACTATGTTTGATGAGTCTTAACTTACAAGTGTTAAAGCTCTGAGTGAAGAAGGTCTGACTTCAAAGAGAATTAAGCATCTGCAGCAGTGTTTTCCAGACTGAACAGGACTATTGTTCTGTTGTCGTAAGTTAGGAAAAAATAAGAATTAAAAAAAAAATTTTTAAAAAAATCACCATTTAATCTAAATTTCGGACAAAGCCCCTCGTTCAATAGCTCCTATTTTAAAAGACAATACTATTTATATAACATTAACTACAACACTATATACAATACAAACATTAGCCTAATAATGATGAAATATTTGTTATTAACACTACAACATTGGCATGTTGATTTTTAGTATTGACAGAGCTGCCTGAAATATCTACTGTTTACAACATTTGTTCTAGCTAAAGAGATTTGATAGAATTTTCTAATCAACTGCAACCACCTCCCACCCATAAAACTGATGCAAATTAGGGAAAAAAACCAAACTACCCCCAAAAAACCAGCTAGTGAGATCCAAAGACATAAACGCTTTTACTTATAATTCTCTAAAGAGAAATCCCTCTCTCTCCACATGGTTTTTTCTTGGCTCTTAATCATCTTTTCATCGGCTTCCAGCTGGCTGGCTCACTATCATCTAGCAGTATAACTAGCAAGACCAACTTGTTACGCCAAAGCCAGGCACAGAAAGACAAGAGCTGCAGAGCGCCATAGTTGGATGCAGAGATCTTGACTAAGGGCAAATCTAGCCTAAAACACACACAGCAGGGTCGCTTCACTTCCCCCAGCACAGCAACCACTGCTGCATTCCCAAAACACACCACAGCAGGTCTGCATTTGCACTTCTTTATTAGTAGAGGTGAAGAACAACTATGACAATTGAAGCTATGTGGAAATTCTGCAGGCAGAAGCTTAATTACCTGAGTGGGAATTCTGGCAAAAAAACTCACAAGACCCACTCCAAAAAACCCTTTCCTTAAATAGAAAGAAATGCTGTGCGGTCACCATGGAGAGATTACGTACAGCATTTGGAGCCCATGCAGCTCCAAAATACACCATGTAGGCAGAAGAGCCAGCCCTGGAGCCAGTTTAGCAAAGCAGAACCAACAGTTGATTCTCTGTTGACTACAGCCACTCAGTGGCCCCCCTTCCAGCCACCTTCCCCTTCTCTATCTTACAAATATGAAGCTATCTGTGAAAATTCAGGCTCCCCGTCAAAGGCTGGCTCTGCAAACGGTTTGGCCCATCTGGGAGTACCTACAGCCAGACATGGGAAAGTCAAGAGATGGAAGCCCTGAACGCTGACACCCAGGTAAGATTTCAAATTGGGAATAGAAGAAAATCCCAGGGAAAGCAACATCATACAGGGTCTGTCTGTGAACATCTACTTGGATTTAGCTAAGCAGCCAGTCTTTGAAGTGCAGCAGTTCTTGCAGAGTCTGTAGTGGCCTTGACTTCCATTGCAAAAATCTCACTTTTGGTCCATGACCAACATCTTTGGTTTCCAGTCACCTTAAGCAGGAAATCCCACCTCCTCATCTCTCTCCCTATCCCCTCCCTCCGCCCACTGTAGAATCCAGCTCATTTTTTGTCATCTAGACTCAACCCCAGCTGCAGCCCCCATGTCCTGGGGTGGATTTCCCCCCCCTGCCCCCCACTTCATCACCCACATCTCTAGAGAAGAGCTTCCCCCTCAGGACTGTGGCAGCACCCCAGGGCAAAGCAACCAGAGCACAGGGAAAACAGGCACCCTTTTCTATCTGCAGGAACAGGCACAGCATAGGCCGAGTCCTTCAGAGCCATTCTGGTCTCTGATTCTCCCCCAGACAACTACTTGTGCTCAGTAATAGTCGGGGCACTCCCTCTGCAGCCACATACCTTCCGTTCTGTTTTCAGAGAGAAGCGTTCCTACTCTGAGTCCCTGAAAAAGCCACCCTGTCACTTCCTATTGTTTGAAGCCAAGAGGAGCGTCATCACACTAAAAATGTCTGAAATTTGCCTCTCCCCTTCATTTCATTAAAGGTTTGTTTTGTTATTAACTTCACTCAGCCTCCAAACCTCCAGAGAGTGCTTTTTATCTGCACGTATGTCAGGCTGGTGATACTACGTGGGAATCTTTCACTTACTGCGACCAGCAGAAGTGTTGCTGTGCTTAAGGAATGCCATTCCACGGACAGTCCTTTTCTCACCTCTCTGCAGTAACTCACTAATCCAGAAGCATAAATCAGAGAGAGCTGATAAGGCTGTAGACGCTGAGACACCGTGCCTCCCACTCAGTTTTCCTAACCAGCCTGCAGGCCACCAGACAGCTTCAGATTTCGGACGGTTGAAAACGACATATTTCACTTTCTTCTGTGTGACACCAGCAATTATAGAAACAGCTGATGATGATTTTTGGAGTCGTTTTTCCACAGCATGCACATTCTTGTGACCAGATTTTGTTCTCCTTCTCACACGGCAAGGCATAGAGACCTGCACTTTATTCCCCCTCCCACCATTGCTGGCCTTCTCACAGCTCCACTTTCTCTCCAATTTCAACGTGCTTCACATCATCTCCGTTCCATGCGTTTTCTTAAAGAGAAATAGCCTGTGTTTGTATTTAGGAAGAATTACCCCCTATTTTTCATCCAATACCACACATCCTAATGCCTCGACTGTACTAAGACTTGCTTATTTTTAATTTTACAGATTGATGAAAAGCTGCTATAATGAGAGGAAGATTTTCTATCAGCAGTCAGCATGAGCTTGAGAGCAGTCTGCTTTTGAAAGCCTGTAGCTCCGATTGCTCAAAATCATGCTGCTATCCACATCAATTTAAATACATGTGTAAGATATCAAGAGATCAGGCTCTAAGTGCTCAAATCTTGTTGAGATCTGAGAAGTTTTTTCATAAATAAGAATGAGGGACAACTTCATGCCACTTGTTACATCCTATGTATTCTTCTTTCTTTAAATTATTGTTTGTCTTTCTTTTTACGAGCTAATGAACAATTTGTAAAACACAGATCATAAAGCTGACCTGGATTTTGATTATGCTACAACCTACAATTTTATATTTAATCAATTTTCGTATTTTGATAACTGACATTAAGTTTCTATTTTATCACCTTATTTGTGTTTTAAGGAACAAGAAAAAAAAATCATCTTTCGTCAAAGATTAAAACTTCACCTATTATTTACTTACAAGCAACTTTCAGAACTGCACCATCACAGCAAGTGTTTAATCAGAAGCGCAAACAAGAAGCTCAGACTGTACATCACATTCTGCCATACATCAAGCAGGAATTGCATTTCAGCATTATAGCAAGCAACATGCAAACATCTGCTGAAGAGATAAGGAAAAAAATAAATCTGAATAGCAACAACAAAACACCACACGGAAATGTTATTTGACCTGCATTCTGTGCAAATTCAAACTGAACACAAGAATCAGGTCCCTGCTGATTAGGGATGACAAGAACTACTAAATTTCCTGGAATATGCTTGTTTTTCAAGACACAGCAGTTCCTTGCCACTCCAGCTGACAGCTCAGGTAGGTACAGACACTCACTCACACTCAGAGCTGGGTGGACGCACAGGCCACAACCTGGAAGCCACCCAGTAACCTCAGAACAGGGCTTTGCATCCCCACTGAAGTGGGGAAGATCGTTTTAGGCTTGCTGCCATACAAATGAGTTTATTCAGCTTTCCACCCAGACCAGTTGAGGATTTGGACTGGAGACAAGAGGAGCACAAAGGGCTGCCCACAGCCATCCACCCGGAGTGATCTCTTAGGCTGAAGTCACTCTGTGTCAGGGTTGAGTTCACTTCATTCAGAAAGTACATCAGGGCTACTGCTTCTAAGGTACATTAGTCACGTAAACATCTCCATTTCACATATATGGAAAGGAAATTTGTCAAGTTTTACGGAAAGTTCTCTGCTATGAATCGGGGTAAAGTCACAAACTGACATTCATTTATCACCAGGGTCTCAGGAAGCTTATAAAAAGCAATTCCTCACAGATATTAAAAGTTACTTCAGTTTTATTGTTTGTTTGTTATTTTTTATAATATTTTGATTTCATAGAAAGAATATGTTTCGTCTGAGTATTTGTGAGAATAAAACAATTTATTTGCAAGTATGGCAGCTGATTATCTCAGCACAAGTGACCCAAGGCACGATCATCAACTGACAGCACTGCCTTAACATTTCTCTGCTGTCTTTTACAATCTCCTGGAAGTATAAACCATCTCCTACAGACATCTACTTCTAACAATGTGAGCCGACTCAAATAGCAATCAAGAATTTGTACAATGATCTCAAAGGACACTTAAAACAGTTTTCCCTAGTCACAGCCTGCCTCTGTGTCCCGATGACATTTCCTTGCATTTAAAAGTTTGCCTTGCTGCTTGGAATTCCAGATTCTGGGCTGACCTTTCTCAATGGCTAACGGTGCGGAAGAACACTTAAGAAATCCAACCAGGGACTGAAATGTGTGTCTATTTTACATGACAGTGTCTTGTTCATCTAAAAAACCCAAACAAGCAAAAAGGCTGGAGATACTTGGATGTCTGCACTCAAGTTACCACAGGAGGTTCACTAACACCTTGGATGACTTGTACAACTTTACTGCTCTCAGACTAGTATCTCAGCTGCACAGAAGAAACACGTGTCCTCCCAACTTCAGAGAAGAGTGTCAGGAGAAAGATGATGACGTCTCTATGCCAGGACATGAGAAGAAAGCCTTCTGTGGTGTTATTTATTGTAGCAACAGGCCCTGGCAACAGGTAGGCTCCATGGTGATAATGGATAACCAAGCTCTCAAGGAAGAGATGAGGGCATTCTTTCTTCCTGGACTTGTAAGGAGAAGCAGATGATCACAGTTTCACCATGGGCTGCAATATTTCTAGCCGGGTTGCTGTCACACAGCTGTCTTCTGAGGAGCTACAGAACAACCAGGAAGCGAAAAGTCAGGTAGTGATTTCTTTCCAACAGACTCCACATAAAGCAGGTTAGGAGATATCATAGCACCAACTGTACAAGGACATACGTGTCCAGAGAAAGATTTTGTTGTGTTAACAGTAGCTCATTAAAGACACAATGAGAGACACTTGTCTCCCACATCAATGATTAATTTCAACACTGCAGCAAGGTATGTTTTGCCTAAAAAATTATTATGAGGCAGGGTGTTTGTATGTATGCAAATATTACAGGACACATGTGCACAGCCACTTTGTGAAGTCTGCAGAGTTGAGTTGACTTAAGCCCAAACATACAGAGAAGAGGAAAGAATAAATCCAGACTCTAATGCTGCCTTCTTTGGAGGTTCAAAACTCTTGTTTAGCAGGTGTTAACCTGTGCAAGTGCTAATTTAAAACTCAGTTTTAAATTTCTAACTAATGATCCACATACAGAAGGCACTTAAAGCACTGAAAAAATACTCCAGTATAGTCAACTGAATTATGGACAGATTTAGGCTTAAGGCCATTGCTTCCTTTCCAAAATGCTCCAGAAGACCTGTCCTCACTATCAACATCCACCTGCAACAGAACATAGAATCACAGAATGGCCTAGGCTGGGAGAGACTTTAGAGATCATTTTAATCCAGCCTCCCTGTCACCGGGGACGCCACCTCTCATGGGTAAATATCAGGAACATTTCTGCCTTCCGCTCCACTCTGAACCTGCCAACTCTGTGGTACTATTCCAGATACTACCTTAAATGTTTCGAAGGCCAAGGAGATTCTCATTTGTTTCTTCATTTTCCTGCAGACTAAAAATGACAGCATTGCTGGAACCGAGGCTGACCCCTCACTGGGACAGGCAGCACAGCCAACGGGCACTTCAAAGGATGGAGCCAAACTTGAAGATGAATCCAATAAGAGACACTCCCCTGAGGAACTACCAGAAAGGTTTACACCTTTGTGCAGCAACACACAATGCACAGGTAAACCAGGACTGAAGAATAAATACCATATTATTCCTTAACTTTGTGACTAAAAGTTGCTGGGCCAGTTATCAAGCAAACTATAGAAATTCCAGAAACGTCATGAGGATAAGCAAAGGTCTGCTAAAACATTTTCTAAGTACTAGTGAACACTTCAGCCCAAACTTTTCTATAATCTTAAGATATCATTGTACTAAGAGTTGTTAGTGGGAAAAGCAGCACTTGGCACATTTAAACTCCCTAATTTTGTAGTTTAACTCTTGTATTTTTGAAGTGCCATGAACAGCTTATATTTCACAAACACATGGAAAATCCTAAGTGGTTGTTTACTCTTTGCAGTAAACACAGGTTGTAATAAAATATTTCAAATTGAACAAGAAAAGGAATAATTACTAGTGTTTGCTATTCATTAAAGAGGACTTAGCTCCCAGTGCCACCAAATGACAAGATGAAAGGATTTCATTTCAGATTGAACAAAATTATTTATTTGCTCCAAAATGGTGTTTCATATAATTTCAAGCTCCTTCTCCTCCCACTTCCTAAAAGATAACTTCACAGGAAATTTCCAAACAGAAAGTTTTTGAAATCTTGCTTCAGTCTTTTGTTTTGAGACTAAAAAAACCCCAAAACCCCCACACGCCATACCACACCAAGATATTTCAACTACATTTTTCTCCTGAATGGATAGATTAGTAAAACCAATACAAATTCACATCACTTGTCAACATTTCCCACTCATTGTGCTTTTATTTCTTGCCAAGATATATTTTGCTGTATACCAGCCTGACATTTATGTGTTCTGACTGACAGCTGAACCATAGTGCTTTTTTGGTGGCTGGTTCAGTTATTTTAGGAGAGGTATGGAGTCAACTTCTACAAGGTGGTAGATGTTCTGTATTTTTGTTTTACAACTACAAAATAAGCCAACATTGTCATACTCCCTCTGCTTGTAAGAACTGGCAGATGTCAAATAACTGAAATTATTTGGTCCAAGCATTCTTCATCCAAAAACTCTAGCTTGTGCCAATAGAGGTTGGGCAGATGGTAGAACTGTCAACTAGGGGTTGAAAAACATGATGGGTCTTGGCAATAAAGTTGTTCTTTGCTTATTCGTGTCTAATATGTGGAAACTAAACAGCCACTCAGCAGGGTTATCAAAATAATTATATATTTATAAACAGCAATTAAGAATAAATCCAAAATAAGTGTTGAAGTGCTCATGATCGCACTCAAACGTTGCAATGCTGTTACAACAAAAATCATAAGCCACAAAAGCATGTGAAAGTTTGGGTTCTTTTAACGGAAGAACACAGTGATGTCTACAAGACGGTCCTTTAGCAAGTTTGTGCTATGGCATCCCAGCCTGGCTTTCTCTGGCCAGATCACAGAACCTTTCACAACTTGAACTGCAGAGAGCTCCCTATGGACTCTTGTTAAGAATACAGTCAAAATTTGGCTGCACAGGCCGTGAAGCACACGCTTCCCTCTGGGTATGACTGACCACAGTGAGAAACTGAAGTAGGTGCCTGCATTGTTCTTCAAGCCACTGAAAAGCTTCTTAGAAAGTTTAAGCTGTAAAGAGACCCTTGAGCAGGCCTTCTCCACTGGACATTCTCAGTAGGTAACCTCTTGAATAAGAGCTCTGGAGTCAGAATACATCAGGAAGTTTCATTTGAGTGCCAAGTGCTCTACAAGTTTTACTGTTTCCTTCTTTTTGAAGATGCACTGCTCACCAGTGAGTTCATCAGTGAATCATGGCCCTTATAGGAAACCAAGAGGCAAAAATCATCAGCCATTCTTGAGGAGCTGAGGATACAGGGAATAATCAAGAGCCAACATACCACTAGCAGGACTGGAGAAAACAAAGTAAGTGTCATTTTATGAGACAGGACCTGCGCTACAGCTCTGACCCCGCTGCGAGCACCCAGAGATGCGGTTTCTGCATACGCATAGCATCCAAATGTATCTCCTCTAAGACTTCAGAAACAAGGTAGGGAGCAACAGAAAACTGTAGTATGGGGATGTTAATGTGACTGAAGCAGGCAGCAGTTTTCAGTTGTTTACAGTTTCTCAGCTCATTTCAAATGGAGAAAAGAAAGACAGCACCAGTACTAAGAACTTACTCTTAAGAAAAGTCAGTGGAAGCTACATGTCACAAACTCATTTCTCAAGTTCACAGAACTCAAAGAAATACTGCTGTCAGGGATTACAATTACACAAATTAAGACGTCGGAAACACTAAATACTCACACTTCTGAGAAATACACAATTCACATTTGGTTACAGACTAAGAAACCATTACAGTATGGCTTTTAAAAAAAAATTAAAGAACTGATACTTGACTAAGAAGCTAGTGCCTATTTTCTCTCATTCCAAATTACAGCCTGAGGTTAATTTTAGCTTCTGAACTTGAGTTTATTCTTTTGTTGTCAAGCGTTGCGTTAAGGATCAGATGCCTCTTCCAGATAGAGTTTCAAGCATAGACATCAGGAGAGAGAAGGTCTGCAGGGAGTCCATATGACGTTTAACACATTTATAGATACGTATCATCCAAAGTATGATCTCGTTGCTGCTCGAATACACAGGCAACTCACGCTCAAACCAAGGATGATTCCGAGTAGCTTTGTCATTTGTGGCAAGCCATTCACATATCTCTGATCTCGCTTTATTGAGGATCAAACAGAAACACTCATGAAAAGGGACTAAACAAGCAAATGCCACTGTACAGTCTGGCCGCTGGTGTCACTCAGCACATTTCCTATTGCCAGCACTTTGGAAAATGGAGCTGGAGGGTCTCTGAGTGCAGGTTCTGCGTAGCTTTCCCTCCCTGCAGGTGGATTTTTTCGTATCTGAGAGGATTATCCCCTCTTCGCTAAATTAAGGTAACATACTGCAAGCAGGTTTTTGTATTTTTTCCCCTTTGTAAGATAGGTGAGCATCTATTCTTTTTTTTTTCTTCTCCTGCATTAAAAAGCTTCTAGTATTAAATTACACACACTCTTTTATTGACAGAAACTCAGTCTGTGCTGTTTCTCCTTTGAGAATTTCTATCCTCCACAAAAGAGGAAAGCACTTCTTTTTTTTGTCTTAAAATGAGTACAGCTTTTTAAAAATGAACTTCACACTTTTCACTAACAAAGCAAACTTTTCCAAGCAATTTTTTACATTGGAGCTGGGCCCACTGCTGGATAACCTACAACTGAAAACATACATGTGTCACTAGCTGTTAACTATTAGCCCTCCCTAAGCAGCAAGAGAAAAATTTAGCTTGTGCTACCTCCTGTAAGAACAATTTATTCCATTAGAGCTCAAATCCAGCAGATTACCTTTGAAGAGAGGGGCTGAATGCATGCAACACAGATCCAGTGGAAAAAGTTTATTACCCAGACATTCCAAAATACAACATGCAGCTCTGGCTTTGGAGTATTAACGCATGGAAAATTCACATCTGAAATCTCTGAATTGACCAGGAATAAGCGTGAGTAGCTTCATGCCAAATTTCAGTCCAGCACTAGCTTCAAGGAAGAAACGAGCTCACAGACTTCACAGCATTACGAAGGACAAGTACAATCAAGGTTTGAGATTACTTTTACAATAATATTGGAGGTATCCTTGGAAGAACCTTCTCTTCCTGTGCATATAAGCATCTGCATCCCTTAAGCCTTGGCAGCATTACCTGTCCTCCAGATTTCTGGTTGTTCCTCATTTTATCCTGAGCAAGGGACCTCACAACAGTACAGGTTAAGCTGCCTTGTTATAACTGTTTCTAAGCGCTAGTGCTCTAAAGGAAGAGTACTTTTAATAGCAACGTTTTATGGGCCTAGCCTAACGAAGCCACGGCAGAGCCATATATGCCACAGGATAAACTGTTCTAACTCTAGATCTTACTAAAAATGCCAGCAGAGCCAGAGCTTCCACCTAAGATACAGATACGCTGAATTTTAGTCGTTTTAAGAAGCCTAGGTATCTCAACTTGGAAGGGACCAATAAGGATCACCAAGTCCAATTCCCTGCTCCTTGCAGGGCTGCCTAAAACTAAACCATACAACTAAGAGCATCATTCAGATGTACCTTGAACTCTGGCAGCCTTGGTGCTGCAACAATTTCTCTGGGGAGCCCACTGCAGAGACCAACCACTCTCTCAGCAAAGAACCTTTTTCTAACATCCAAAAAATCATAGCTGATGTCAAACATGAAAATGTCTAATCCTCACTCCCTGAAGAGTTACATTAAGCTCTTCATAAACAGCCCTACCCCCAAGAAGGGGCAGGAGCTGAATTAAAGGCAGCACTGCTCCTTTAACTCATCAGTGCATCAGCAGCTGTAGGATATCATCCATCAGGTACCTTTTTCTCCTCAAGTCTGCCTTTAAAGGCATATATATGTGACCTAGAGGGTAAGCAAAAGCACTAACAGCTGTCGTTTCAAATGGAAGGGTCTATAGAATTTTACCATGAGTTATCCTTTACAAGAGACGTTATTATTATTATTATAGCATTTCCATTGCTGTTGGCTTTCAGTGTGGGCTCACTGAAGCTTATGAGGACTCTTGATCTCCCACAACTACTCAGTTTAAAGATAAGTTCTCAGCTTACATAGATGCAGAACAATCTGGAAAGCAACCCCCTTGCCGAATACTCCGTTTAGTTTGGACATATTGAGAAGAATTTTCCGTTCATCTCTTCCTATGCAGTCTCCAGTTTATCTTGGGCAAGGAACGACAGGCTCAGTATGCAAACCTTCTCACTCCAGGCTTTCACTAGAATGGCCTTTGTCCTTAGATAGAAGAGTGGTTCTTTTTTACTTTTTCAAAAGTCTTTTGTTTAAATTTTATGATGATTGAATATTGCTTTAGTCCTATTTTGTGTGTCATCTACATTCAGAATGTGTCCTTTGTATATCAGTTTTCTTCCTACTGATTCATGCTCCACCTTCATCTCACTAAATGAGTCATCTCCTACACTATTTGCAGTACTTAACACTTCTGGCAGTGAGGCCTGACTTCTAGAGTTATTTATGGCAATAAAAGTCTGGGAAGCAGATAACTCTTGTAACCTTGTAACAGGATAGTGATTATTTCAAACTCTAGGTCCTTGGTGTGGGTTTAACATTGCTAAAACTGCTTTTTATACAGGAAAAAATGGTTGAATTAAGCCTCCTGGCTGATCAAATAATCACCGCCATCTTTCCAGGAGTAAGTGCCACCCTCAGCAGCAGAGCTCGAGGGCTGGGCTGCTCATTTGAATGCAGCAGAAGCCAGCAGTGTCACAATTACTAAGCTCTAACAAAACCATTCTTAAATCTCTTCAGCAGTAATAAAGTAACTTCCCAAAATACTTAGGGCCTCATCACCAAATCCCCACATCTGCTGGGTGGATAGCAACACTGCAAGCCTCACAGACACATCACTCAGCAGAAAAGGGGAATTCTCACTGCAGACAACACGAGTGAGAAAGCACTGAGGTTATTAGCACATCATTATTTCTAGGCTTTCCTTGGAATCAGAGTCCATCACCTCCGTACACGGAAAAAATAAAATTTAAAAAAAAAGCAGAAGGCAAGTAGAAAAGCATCACTCCAACATAAAAATAAACTTTGCTGAAAGTTTCTAATGTATTTACAGAGAGATGCCCTGGAAAAGACACTGAAGAAACCACCAGCTAGGCTGGCAAAAATCCAGTTTGGAAGCAAGGTGATTTTACAGTGAAGGACATGAAAACTTCAGTTGAAGCAAAAAAACCCAAACAGGTAATCTAATTCTATATATTTTTCCAGTGTTCAGTTTATCACTTAAACCCCTCTACTTTTTGTAAGTGAAGCTAAAAGAGGCAGTTTACACACAACCTACCACCAAAACCTGACTAGTGGCAGTGCAGCGTGTCCTATATTCAGCTCATAGATGTTAGAAGTCCAGGTTTATTTTTGCCAGAAGCTTGGCAGATTACTTTAAAAATATACATAAGAGAAAACATCTGGAGCAGTTTTTTTATCCCCTCTAGCAAAAGATGCACCTTCCATGGACACCGGAACAAACTTCCTGAATTCAGTGCTAACTGGAGTAACACTCTGATCACATTTGGGTAGAAAGACAGAAAGGGCTGCTCGATGCCTTTGACACGTATCTACTTCCACCCCTCATTACAAAGCATCACTATTTTTGTTGGTTTATTCTAGGTTTCGGAGGAGGAACTCGACAAAATACCACAATACATCACATTTTTTCCCAGCAACTGCCCCCAAACCACAGGGAAACAGAATGAAAAGAACTGCTCGTGTTTTGAAAGTTAAGGAGGTACAGACACCTCCTCAGCTCTCACTTCTGGATGGTGAATGAAATAACTGCAGTAGAAGCCACAAACAGTTCTACTGAGGACTCTGCTGTTGTGTCCGATAACTTACAGCTGCATCGACAGAACAATCTGGATCTAAGCTGTCTTGCAAAAAACAAAGAACAATTCTGCAACGCTACAGGCTTGGGGACGTGTGGT